GATCTCCAACTCGACCAGACCTGTCCAGCCAGAAGGACCAGCCGTCGACCCCCTTCTGGAGGATAACACCACGCTGAAAGAAGCCTCGACTGGCCATCGACGGCAGACTCCAGCGCTTGTAGGATAGGTATACCTGAGTCTTGCTACTGTGTGTGTACGTGTGTGTGTGGGGGGAACCAGCCCCAAGGTTTATGATTTAACTTCATTACAGTGTTTCAATCTGCCTAATAAACCAGAATTTTAAGGATCCCAAGTTGGACATTTGTAGCCAACAACTCCTGGTGCTGCTGGTGGTGTGGCTGCATGGGGGTCCTGGAGACAGCCGCGATAGTAGCAATGAGTCTTGATGCCCCACACCAGGTCCTGTCTACTGGGCCATGAAGGCAGTTCCTGCCTCTGTAGCTAGGCTGCAGCCGTACACCACCCCTCCACCCCACACTCCCACCACCTGCCACACACACTGGGGGGATGGGGGGCTATGGGCTAGGACCAAGGGGCATCAGCAATTTGCAAAATTCATAATGATGAATGTCACTTTGGAGTAATGGAGGACCACATGTTGACATTGCTGATAATGTTTTCCTGTTGATGCTGATTTCTATCTTTTAAAATTAAGACTGTTAAGCTGCTTTAGCTTGTGGCATGTAGTAAGTGTTTCGGGGGCACAAAAATACTTGTGTGTTTTCTACTTATACAAAAAGGTTGAGAACCATTGGTCTATAACTTCTAGAAGTTATAGACCAATGGCTCTAGAACTAAAAAAAATGGTAAAAAACTCCAGACCTGAAACCAGCCCAGCAAGCCCTTGGTACACACCTTCTCTCAACTGGAGTGAATAACGTTTATCATTAGCATTTGTTCAGGATCATTTAGACAGTGTTCAATTTAATTTCAATGAGACAGGTCATACCTAAGCTAGTTTTAAATTCTCTCTCTCAAATTAAACCCCACAGCTCTTATCCTTATCTTTCCCTGTGACTGGCAAATACTATCATAATTATTGCCATTAACACTAACAACAGAATTTGATCCTGCAGAAGGTAAGAAATCATGGCAGACACCCACTATTGGGAAAAAAAAAAAAAAAAAAATCAAGCAGCATTTTTCTGAAGTGACTAGGGGTATTTGGAGATCTATTTTAGCTACCTCTGTAGGTTTCAAACTCAGAAGGGACAATTGTAATCTTTGCGGGGACTGCTGATACACATAATACACATCTCAATATTTCATTTAGGGAATCCTGCTTCTATAGCTCAGCTGTCAGTGATTGAACAGCAGCACCTATTTTAGGAGACATCCAAGTTTGGCTTACAGAAAGACATCTTATAAAAGGATCTGATTTTCAGAAGGTGACTTAACCTAAATAATCAAGCACATGCAAATCACTATTCATTTTGAAACAACATATTTTACAATGAGAAATAAAACTGCAGCCTTAGCCACTTTTGGTCACTAACATCCTGCGACAAAGAAAAGGTATTAACCATCTTATCTAGTCAAAATTTGTGTTTGGGTCATTCAAAGGGGAATTTTAGCTAGAATGCTGTTTCAGCTGGTTCTGGTATGCTTCTCCATTTACTGCCCTCAATGGCTATGTAGTCTTACTGAGCCTCATTTAGAAGATAACTCTTTTACTGCCATGGACACTCATCAGTGTTGCCATTCATCCCCAGGTGAAGGGAGTCTAGTGGAGTTGTGAATCTTTTTATACAAAACAGTAAGATTCAGAAAAACAGGAAACAGGATTCAGAAAGACAGGCAATTAAAGAGCAGTACTGGTTGTTGCTTAATGTAGAAGAATACTTACTTTTCATGAGTATTATATTGAAAGCAAAGCACAAATAGTAATTTTACAGTGAGAAATACAATTAAGCTTTAAATTGTACTTACCATGTACAATACTAGGCATTGGAAATATCAATAAAGCTAAAACTGTCTGATAAAAGGTCAGAAACTTACTGTGGATTTATATCTGGATTAATCTTTTTCAGGTCCATGATGTCATCTATAGTTTTCTCTATGGCATCTGGATGAACACTTACTGAAGTTTGCAGCAACTGCAAAAATATTTCAACATGTGTTAACTGACACAAAAGATCATAGTTAATGGAGACTAACTATAACTAGGCTTCTAGATTACCAGCCTGAAGATCCAATGATCTACTTTTAAATGGAACAAGTGCAGCCAGGGTAATGCTGTCAATATGTTTAACTTCATCAGCTAGATCCTGAACATCATACCTGTGGAAGGGGCCAGCTTTGTATGCTGAGCTTTTATCCAGAATAAACTTGGCTGTGCCCATAGATGAAGAAGGATATACTTTTGCATTTCTGACCCTCATTTGAGATGAGTACCAGAGTCCACATATATGCTGGAGTTTGGAGGGGTAACATAAAATGGCAAGTAGTAAGCATATAACATTCAAAATAGAAACTGTATTTTTCCACTCCCTTTCAAGTGATCACAGCACAGACAATGTACCAGTCCAGCCTCAAGAGTGAATCAATAGGGAAATATCACTAAGCACTCAAGTATTCAATCTCTCTCATGAGCTCAAAAACAAAGTTCAAAATAGGGCTAAATTTGCTGAGGATGCACTTCAAAACACTCTAATCTGTGACATGCATTACATTTCCGTATGCATAGATTCTATCTTTAATTTCCATTAATAGAATTTTTAAAACATACAGGTAAGATGCAACATATATTTTCTAATGCTGACATAAACAGTATGTTTTCCAAAAAACCTGGATTTTTCTTTCCAGACAGAAGTTAGGAGTTAAAAGAAAAGAATATTTTTATGAACTTGTCTTTCACAGTTTAAACTCCCATAACACCTTCAGGACAAGTGAACTCTAGTTTTACAGTCTGAGTGAATGGCTGTATTTAATGTTCTTATGTGCATTTATAAAAGCCAGATCCAAACTACACAGTCAGGCTTACTAATTTGTGTCTGTATCTTCTCTATCACTATGAAATACGAAGTGATTAAATAACTTGCCCCAGATCATCCAGGAAGGTTGTGGCATGAACAGGACCAAG